TATGAGAGTACATCTTGCTCAATTAGCTGGCTTGTTTCTGCTGGTGACTTTGGTGACCTGAAAAAGAATGGAAAAAATCTAAGTTAAATTCAAATGATCTCAGAGTTCAACTCAAACATGTTCTGGTCCATCTGTATCACAGTGACGCCAACTCATCGAATGAACTTTCTATGTTACAGGTGGCGAGCATCAAGTCTAGGTACATCCCTTTGGACAAGAACCAGCGTCAATCCTTATTGTTTTACTACGACTGTACCATACAAATGAAATAAATAGCGGCATTACTGTCAGTGATTGCTAATGATTTGCCTCCAGTTCCACACTAAATTTAAAACACGACTATATATTTTAGGCTCAAGTAATAAGCCGTATATATGGAATAAGAATAAGCAGTAAAGAAATGACAAGTAACCCCCAAATAGAAACAATACCAAAATAAACTTTTACCAGACATGACTACCATAAATGTACTGGTATTTTATGTTAACATCACACATTGAAAGTCAAAACTTACCAGATTCATTCCTGCGATCATGAGAAAAAGGAGAGATTCCTCCCGCTGTGTGCTGCGACGCCAACTCAGCATACTGCAGGTGACACATAGGCTGCTTGGCTAATGTCCAAGTCAGGTGCACCTCCAGCCCGATCTTCCTGCAACAAACCAAACACGCAATTTTATAGCCAAAGAAACAGGATGCAAAAGAGGCAGGAGCACGCAATTTCGACAGAGGAGGTCAAAAGCGACTCTCCTAGACCAATTCCAGTCATTTCCAGCGATTTTTTTTTTTTTTTCATTTTTGGCCAAATTTACAAAGGCCTTTGTAATTTTAGCGAAAATTGATGGGTCAAGATTTCAACGGGAAAGTAGTCGAATCGACAGGGGGGAACCAGGGGACCACAAAACTACTATTGGTTCCGTCAGAAACCACCCCTGTCCAGAGAAACTTGAGTTTTAAGGGGTGGTGTTTGGAAATCTGGCGGGCAGCGTACAACGGGCTGCCTACCTGGCAGGCGAGCCCAAGAAAAACAGGCGTAACTCACTAAAAATGGCCCGGCGGCGTAAAATTTCGACGGAGAGATTGAAAGAGGATGCTGTCTGGCTAATCCCAACCATTTACAGCGATTTTCAAATTTTTCATTTTTGGCCAAATTTACAAAGGCTATAGCCTTCCCATTTTCAGCGAAAATGGGTGGGTCCAGATTTCGACGGAAAAGTAGTCGAGTCGACAGAGGGAAACGAGGGGACCACAAAACTACTTTTGGTTCCGTCAGAAACCACTCCTGTCCAGAGAAACTTGAGTTTTACGGGGTGATCTTTGGAATCTGGCGAGCAGCGTACAATGGGCTGCCTACATAGCAGGCGAGCCGGTACAAGAAAAACGTGCGTAACTCGCTTAAAATGGGCTGGCAGCGCGAAATTTCGACGGAGAGATTGAAATGGGGTGCTGTCGGACCAATCCCGACCATTTCCATCGATTTTCATTTTTTTCTTTTTGGCAAAATTTACAAAGGCTATAAATTGATGGGTCTGGATTTCGATGGATGAGTATTCGAATCGACAGGGGTGAATCAGGCACCACAAAACTACCTTTGTTTCTGCCAGAAACCACCCCTGTCCACAGCAACTTGAGTTTTATAAGAGCTGGTCTCTCTAACTAAGGGCGGGTAGGCTACCTAAGGCGCACTGGCTAAGATCTCTGCTGTAGTGGGTCGGCACCATAATATTTAGACAGAGCATGTGAAAAGGGAGTCTGCCCCACCAATCCAAACTGATTCCAGCAATTTTCCAAATTGCCAAGATTTTTAAAAGACATTTTCAGTGATAACAAATCAGCCTGGATTTTGACAGAGGATTGAAATCGACAACAAAGAACCAGGGCACCACAAATAAACATCAAATACCACCCTTTGATGCACACAAAAGGAAGCTCGTCTTAGTGGAGACAAATTGGACCAGCGTTGGCGGTTACTGTCATGTCAACTCACCTATTCTTTCTGCTCAAATGTCAAGAACATTTCTGGGCCAAGTTCCTGCAATCATATTAAATGGTACTTTTAGCGCTCATCAACTATTACTTACATATAATTTACTCATACAATACACTTTTAAATGCCTCTCCCCCCATGCGTCTCTAAATGACAATAGTCTTTCAAATGACTAATTTTGGTACTGGATTAAACATTAAGTACGAAGGGGCAGCTGCAAATTATCTGCAACGCACATTGATTGATTGTTTGGGGGATTATACGCAAATAGTACCACTCGGTTTGCACCCCAACCAGAAAGTAATCAAGTTTTCTGTTCCACGAGAATAAAATAGAGTAAAATATATGATATGTGATAAAACACTGGCAGGTTCACCCATTTGCATAAGGACCTACAACAGTATTTAACATACTGCATGGATTGGAGGAGTGTACCCATTCAACACCTTTTCAACAAAGCTAACAGTGAGCCAAGTTATTTACATCACGGGCATCATTTACTCGGCCTCAAAAAATAACTTACAACTTAATTGTGCGTGTAAACTTTGAGCCACAGGAGCATAACCTCCTACAACAATAACCGGAATGGAACAATTCAATATTCCGGACCGGAAACAAGTAAGCACTATACCTTGCAATTAATAACGAAAAGCGGCGATATCCACTCTAAAATTCTGGTTAAAATCCTATGATCAATAATTACATAAGTAGGTATTATCGGTAATTGGCAGAAACGCCGATCGTGACACCGATATTTTCACTGTTTGATGTTTACGTTTCCATAAGGCGCGGGAAATGCGCGGTGGGGGTGGGGAGGAGGAGAGGGGTAGGGGACGGGACGCGTAGGGACGCGGCACGGCAAAGGGGGAGAGCAATAATCACGGCATACTCACTACTCACCGACATATCGCGGTTGCGGGATGTGATTCTTTCCTGGGGTAGGCAATCCCGCCTCGCTTGTCCAGGATGTGATGTGATCCTTTGGGGATGCTTCCCGTCCCGTGCATCGTTGTGTGGCTCCAGGCGGCAACGCCAGGGAAGTGCCATGTGACAATAATGAAATGATCGGGATAATAAACTATTATGGGCGATTTGCTTTTAATAATAATTATATTTGGCGACTTTTAAGAAATATGCACCAGCAGGGGTATACGATTTGGAGCCGAATCGTATTTGTCGTGGGAGTGTCATCGGCGTGCTCGTTGGAAGACACACCCTAATTGACACACTACCAGATTTGGACGCAGCGATGTGGTGTAGGTAAAGAACGAGATAAAAAGCGATAAAGAAGAAGTAAAAAATTAGTTCAACAGTCTTTATTTATATTTTAACATTTCTCACTAATAATATTTACACTCTGCATATCTTAAGACACAGATATATGTTCTTCCTTAAGTACACCACTTTGGTTGCATTGGTGCTTAAAATCTGCGTCTTTTTCTGTTACATGACAACACATAATAAAATACGTGTCATATATTGTATCAGATGTTGAGAAGAAACAGTTTTCATGAGGAACACAAAAAATGGAATAGCTTGATATTAACAGCTAAGGTACTTAACAATGTTTTTGAACTTTTTGATATTTTTACTTTATCACATGTATAATTCTCTTTTGTACCCTGCATTTCCACAGCTTGTATGTGAAAAACAAGAAGGGAACAGTTAAAGTAAGCAGAAAAAAAGTATCTCTTCTATTGAGCTAAATGCTGGGTGAGAATGAAAACCAGATGGACATAAAGCAGCACGCATAAACATTGAAAGACTGTAATGTTACTACAATAGGCAGTTTTTATCAAATATATAGGCAATAGTCACAAATAAGACAGAAAATTTGCATGCCATAGACGATAAACACTATAACAAAGATCAGAAAGCCATGCCAAACACAAAATGTCGAAAGGATGAGGATAATGACGGCATGGCTTGACAGAAGCTTTACTAAACACCTGTGCTTATTCAGTTTATCACTACATATCACAGAGAAAATAAAAAGGCATAACCTTTCAGTAGCACAGCTACACACATGATAATAAAAAAATAGTCACAATTTTTGAATAACAATATGCAATGACACAACACATCCAAATCTGATAATTTGCTCAGTGTCAAATTAGCATACACAAGCAAAATTTTTCTTAAAGAAAGAATAGACAGATAAAAAAAAAAACATAAAAACATCAACACTTTTAGACGTGGTACCCAGTATGGGTGGTGAATATCCTAGGTACAAAGATACATGGTAACTACCTACAAGTAATATGACATTTTAAGGAAATGAACATCCTTTATTAACAATCAAAAATAGTCTGTCTTGGTCATCATGAAACGTAGAACAAAAAAGAGATGTTCTGTATCCAATGTAAGTCTATTGAACATTTATGTTGCTGTTAAAAGTGCATGCCACAAAAAGCATAAACTCCATCCATAACGAAAAATGTGTTTTTTTAAAGAGGAGAATGGCTTGGCCCACACTTGTCAATGCTCAAATGGTTAGTTTTTTTGAAGGGCATAACACAATATTTTACCGGCACATAATTTTAAAAATGATAAGGAAAGAGTGCAAAGAACCTTGAAATAATCATGAAAGAGATCTATAAAAAACGTATTTGTATTTACTTGGAACAAACACAAGAATCGGAACCAAGTGCAATCTTAACACCAGATTAAGGTAACATAGTTTTCAGCCGCTACCTTGATTTAACTGCAAGACATTTAAATGCGATGAACAACTCAGAAAGTGGTTTGCTCCTGCTACATGTAATGAATGAACCTCTACCAACAGGCGAATGTTACATGACAAACAGTAACATTTTATCCACTACAGACACTAGGTACTTTCTACAGTTCGTAATATTTTAAAAAGAACCACTTTTTAGCAGTAGTACACACTCTTTTCCTAATTTTTTTTTCAGAAATTGTTTTCTTGCAAGAAAGTAGGATCACAGAAGAGAGCAATTTGAATTTTTTTTTTGGAAGACACACCCTACCACAATATTGACACACGGCACACACACAGGTGGACGAAATGCAGCAGATATTCTGGTCTAACGTAAGCTCTGACAGTATGTTAAATACTTTTGGAAACACAAATAAGATAGAGTCAACGACTTATTAAATAAAAAAACAAAGCAGCAACATTAACTCTTGCCATTAATTTGACCAAAAAAAAAACAACAATTTTTTTCATTAGCAGAGTTCAATGAAAATGTGTACTTGAGGAATAAATAAAGGAAATGATACAGATTGCACTACAAACAGTCATTCTGGATGAGGGGGCGTTGAATGGATTGGATTAGTAGCACTGTGGTTGAACAAACCAGTGGATTCTTTTACAGACAGGATAATACCTTTTAAAGTTCACTCATTATTCATTCACTCTACATTGACAGTTCTTTGCATTCCGTTTGCACTAGATTGGACTAGCTAATAATTAGGGAAAATAATTAAGATCTGCTGACGCCAACTACATTTTACTTCTGATTTGAAGTAAGAAGGAAAGAAACCCAATATAATCAACATGGTACATCTATATTTGGTCAGTATAAGGTTGTCTAAATGAATTGGTCAAGTGGAAGGAACATTAATTGACTGATATCTGATATCATGTGATCCATAAACAGCATTGTAATCTGAAGGAGCACATCACCTAGTTTACAGAGAATTCGCCCTTTTTGTTGGGTTTTTCACTTTCAAAGTGGAATATAATAGAATGTAGCCGCCAAAGTTCAAAGCTGCTGTTTATATTGCAGATGGAATATCTCATAAAAACTGAGAGGCATTCAAAATTGTGTGTAAATATAGAAATTAAAAAGATGACAGATAAAAATTAAACTTTAAAAGCCTACAAGAACAATTAAATGAAACGGTTCAGAAAGAATCCACCCGCATTGCAGGGAAGTAATTACATAGTAGATAGCATATTGACCGTCACTATTGTTAAAACCAAAATTGGTCAAGCTGTAATAAACACAATATTAAAGTACATTGGACAAGTATTCTATTAAAACGTACAGTACAAATGATGTTAAATTTAAAAGATAAAATTCAACTCACATAGTACATGTTTTTATGATACTGGTACAAGTTGTTTGGGAACTACAGATTGAGCAGATCTTCAACTAATAAAATTAAAGAAAAAATTATACAAAGGAAAAGTACAGTAATTCTTGGGCTTAAATGCAATTAACTCCAAGAAAAAAAAGATACAACTCCTGGAACGTTTTCATGATAAATCACAGATGACTCAATGGCTAAGCCATTACCTCTATAATGAATTGCTCATTATATACATAGATTAATAATGGCAAATATCATAGAGGTTCTTACCTAGAATTTTTCTAAAGCTACACTGTCATACAAGATATAAGCTCGCGGCACAATTCACTGTACTGATGAAGATCACCAGAGATGCGTCTCATTTTGAGTTCACCTTTACATACTCGAAGTTCAATCTGAACACCACTAGGATATTCTAAAGCAAGGCCATTATCGCCGCACCCTCCTACTACAAAGCCCTGAGGGGGTTTTCTTCTGTCTATTAAATCTTTCACTATACCCAAGACATCAGAAGTGGCCAACTGAGCACAAGAGTCGGAGAGAGTCACCTGAAATGACCCACTACCAGTAATTTGCATCAAATCAGATGCAAAAACATTTCTATATGGTGAGTGGTGGGAAGAAATTCTACCATTCTCCACACTGCTATTAATCACATCATTAAAATTAAATAAATATGAGTTGTCATTACTACCAATTGAACTACTGAATGGGGGAAAGGTTTGCCTTAAAGCAGCACTCTTGGAATAAGATTCCCGTCTCTCTTCAGTTGAATTTTGTTGACTTGGGTTGAAATTACATTTTTGATTGTTTTCAGGGTCACCCACATCCGCACACATGTTTTCTTTAATGACCCTTGGTTCTTCATTGCTTTCATTAGAGCACTGTCCTTTGCCAATGCCACGAACAATGGAAGGTCTTGATGAATCGTAAGGTGTTACAACAAACGTTGGCATTGTGGGAGGGAAAAATGGATACATCTTTCCATCCTCAGAATCTGACATCATTTCAAACTGGTTACAATTTTGAAAGGGGGCTGAAGTTTCATACACACATTCGTCTTGACCACTTAACTCATCCATTTCCACCTCGTGTGAGTCTTTATCAGTGTCAGTACAATTTAAGGAGGGCACTGATTCACAGGAAGATAATGAATTTATAAGTGTAACTTGTCCTCCCATTTCATCAGTCACAGATATTTGAGGGTGAAAATAGTTAGAGTTGTGTCGGCGACCCCATGCTCGAGTGCAAGCGTCAGTTAAACCCAACCCATCACAATCACTTTCACCGTGTTGAACAGGAGCAGTATTTTCTTCACGTATTATACTTAAGCTTGGTGAAGCTGACGAAGCATGATGAAGAGGTGATAAGTTGGGGGATACTCGTAAATCTAAATGGACAGAAGTGGGTGATGATGTGCCTTGAGTGATAGAGCCAGAGGCTGTTGTGAGACCACTTATACCTGGAATGGAAAACAAATGTAAATAACAATAAAAAAAATAATCTGAAAATGTATAAAACTTACTTGATATTTTCCTTATTGATTATTTCAAATTCCTTTTTCTTTGCTCCGTGTTTCTGCACATATTCTCTCCCTCTTTTCCTCACACATCTCAACTCTCTGTCAGTCATTTCATTCCTTGATTTTAATTTGCCCTCTGCCTTAGCTTTTCTTTTTCTTGCTGCATCGGCTTTTTTACTTTTGATGTATGCACTGGCATTAGTTTTTAATTTTCTCCTGTACTCTCGCATGTACACTGATCGGCATCTTTTGGCTGGTTTGCATTTGGCAGTGGTCTTCTTATTGCATTTCCTGAAAACAACAAACATATGTAAATAGGAAAGCCAGAAAATAATAGCCAGTTCATTTCTTTGACAAAACATAGTAAAATACTTAGACATACCTCAAACGAGGTGTTGGTTGTGTGTCTATTTCAGCAATCTGATGTTGT